AAACCTGACACTCTTAAAGCAACAGCCGGAATAGCGCTGACACAGCACAGTTGACAGTGTGCTTTTATCATTTAAAAATACTGCTGATTTGAGATTTTTTTTTTATGTTATTATACAACTATGCTTTCTGGTAATGTTTTCCAGATATATGTACATGTTGTGCTAATGTCACCAGGGTATGGCACTGCTGGATGACTTGACACTAAAGAAGCACCCTGGTATGTCCACATCATAAATGTCTGACGGAATCAAGGCTCAGCTGATCAACTGTTCATATCATTGGTAACTTTAAAGCAGAACAATTATATGACTGCTTTTTGGTTGGTGTGGGATATTGCATTTTGCATGTTGCTTTTTTTTAACTCATTGAAAGACAACATACAGAAATTCAGCACTTCATACATTTGTGAACTATACGTATGTTTTCAGAGTGAAATCTTGTGTTTAAGGACAGCAATACTAATAAAAACCTAAGATAAGTTAGTAGTGACCACGTTCATTTGTCTGTAGAGTTACAAGCTGCCAAATTGAGTTTCTGCTTTGGAAAAGTCAAAGCTAATGTTCTCTTAATACTGTGATATCACCAGTGCCACCTAGTGGCCAAGTTCACTGCCAATCCTTCATGGAGATTGTAGAGTATATTTTTACAAGATGAGCCATATAAACTATGTACTGTATGGAGCTTTTTATGGGTTGGTGTAAAGCGTAATGCCAAATAAAGGCACTACTGTAAATTATTATATAAAAATGGGCCTTGATCCTTAAAAAGATAAAAGGATACATAAGGTGACAACCTTAAAATGCACAGATTTAATATTTTTCCCTGATATAGAAAATATGCTATTAGCATGAGGTCACCCTCCAATGAAAAATATGATACATATACAACAGGTTTTTTGATTGTTCATGAGGACACAATAATAGAACCACTGTTAAAGCTGAACTCTACACTGATTAAAAACAGCATTAAAACCAGTTATGAAGTAATTTAAAAAACACTGAATACATTTTTACAAAGAACTAGTGTACTGAACTTGTCTTGTAGTCCATTGCACAACAGCAGCTTTATTGCTCTGCACAGTGCTACCTGTGAATATGCTTCACAGAGCGGAAAGGGGAGCAGAAAAATGACCAGAAAGGCATGCTGTGTCTACTTCACACTTCACCAGCCAGCACAGGCCCTGGAGGAGGCAGTATTTACGCAACTGCAGAGTAGTCGGTAGTGTGGTCCAGGACCTGACCTGTCTGCAAGACATGCCTGGATCACAAGACTGGCTGAACAGAATTAAAAATCCTTTGGCAGCTAACAAGGTTCACATACTCCTATTCCGTCCATATATTTAGCCGTTTTTCTGGAGTTCAGCTTTAAGAAAAATTTTAAATACTTTGACACGGATTGTCTGTCTCTCTTTTTTGCCACAAAGATTAATTAGTTGCTGATCCTAGTACTTAGCCTACTGTGACAGAAAAACTAGGCCCCCACCTTAGCATCCAGACATGCTCCTGCACACATTGCATTGTCTGCAAGCAGAAAATAGGGCAGCATTTGAAGAGCATCCCCTGGGATGGAGCCACCGCTGTGATAGGAAAAGCCCAGGCCTTATTAGAGGAACACTCCAGCCAAGATCTGAAGTAAAATCTGTCAGTTGTACTAGCAGAGAAACCATGAAACCCTATACTACGACTGCAGGCATTGAACCATACCAACTATTAAGCCCTTTTAATAAGACACAGCCATCACAAATATATTCATTTGAGAGGTATGATGTATTAACAGACTGTTGTGTTGGGATATGTGCATATACTGTACATCCACATATAAATAGTTAAACCAGGTGCTTTGCATAATCTACAGTGCCACAGTAAATATAAAAACTTTGGAAAATTATTGCACCTACTTTCCTAAAAATGCCAATGTGCACTGTAATAACTGAGAGAATTAGACTGGAAGCATCACTGTTCACTCAGAAGGAAGAGCATTGAAACATGACGACTAATGATCAAAAGTGTCATAAACAAGAACTGTTTCTGTTTCCCATAGTAACCAATCAACTTCTCCCTTCTTAGGCCAGTTATATAAAAAAAAAAGGAAAAGAAGAAAGATGCTGATTGGTACAACACAGTTAAAACACTTTTGTTTACAGAGCCCTTAGTATTTGCAAGGCTCTGTATTTCATATGGCTTATCAAACATCAACTGGTAAAATATAAAGTACAGAAACAATTAGTCGTGTGAGCTGCTGAGGCTCTCAGTACAAGCTGTTCTGGCTGAATCCTGTATATACTGTATACAAGCAGTGCTCAGACTAGATCAGTGTATGATAATACACATATCTTGCTGTAATATACAATATTCACTTATGGAAATAAATACAGTTTATCCCTTGGCTTTATATTTCCACCCAAAGTTTGTACTTTCACGGTTCATAAATACGTCCATTTTAGCTGCTATATAAAAATGACTGAATCTAGTGCAAAACATAAGAAGCCTCTGATGAAACAGTTTTACACCTTTGACTGCCTCTCATCAGACCACTCTTGCTTGGTGCTCTGCAGAGCTTGTGTCTTCTTCTCATCCACTTGTACATAGTCCACTCTTTGCTCTTCAGACAGGAAAGGTTTCTTAAAGAGGATAACAAAAAAGTCAGATACTAATCTTCAAAGCACAGGGACATACACAAAAGGTTTTCAAGTGCGATAAACTCTTTGTCCATTGACTAATGAACATCACACACATTTTGACGCCCACAAAAGTATTTTCAGTTTTACTGTTTAGTGGACAGGAAAACCACTTAAACCAGCAGATAAGGGTGCTCACTGTGGGTTTTTTAAATATATAGTTTAGTTAAATCCCCAAAACATCACTTTCTATCTCTATTTTCTTATTAAAGAAAAATATGGGGGGGGGGGGGGTGTCATCGCTGACCACCTCCTGAAAATACAGGTGGTCTGGCTGTTGAGTCTCTTGCTTGAGCTGAAACAAGTACCAGGAACGTCAGACGTCCTTATCTGTATAGTTGCCCTGGGTTAGTGACTTTGATGAAAATGGAATCGTTTTAGTGCAAAAGCCTGCTTGATTGGATGCAAACTCATCATATCACATAGTTTTGGTAAATCTAAAGGTGAATGCAGAAAGACAGTATGGTCAGTGTAATTTCTATGGTAGTGTAATTTCTATGGTCATAGTGTAATGTCTATTGTGAGACAAAAGTGGAGTATACAGGTTTTGCCACAATAGGGCAAACGATTTAAAGGAATATGTGTAAATTTATCTACAGCTCCACTGATAGCCTAAGTAGGAGAATACATAATATAAATAATTTATATCTGCCTTACTAATACAATGTCTGAAATAATAAAATGTCTGAAAAATAGGTACAAAACCACTGTGGGGATTGCACTGTTGTAAGGTCATTTAAATGCTGTTGATTCCTTTCATGTTAATTTTCATATATAGCCCTTAGTAGTTGCCTGGTTGAATCTTTTAGGAAAAAAGATGTCCTATGCTCTTTAAAACATATGGTTCTAAATAAATACTTTTGCAATTCGTAGGACATTTTTTATATATAAAACAAGTAACCATTTTGTTGCATTTTACCTTTTGCACAGGCGATGGAGATGCAGAATTAAAATCCAGTGCAAGATAGTCGAGGTTGAATTTCCTTGGCCAAGAGAAGCTTCCATTACTGGGCGATGCCCCTTGTCTCTGTTCCTTTACAAAAAAAAAAATTACATTATACAGCATTATTTCATACACACCTTTTTGTTAATGTTCTCAACAATTCAAATAGCTGAGAGAAAAGCAATGTAAAGTACACGAGGCACAATTAAAAATCAAAATAAAGAAAAAAAATTTCATGCATTCCTCTTTCTTATCCAAGGGATAATAGCCCAGCACATAAAGTATCTGATTTGCTGTACTCATGGCTGGATGGCTGCCAGTGTATAGATTCCACAGCATACTGATACAAGCACTTATGCCCTTCAGCACTGTAATGGCGCTTCAAAAGGGGGGCCCCCCCCCCCGTTGAGGAGGTACCCCTCTCAAAACCCCACCAGCTTCTCCCATACTACCAATGCCTAAGAACATGAAGTAATATGCAACTTAAATGGTAGTATTTATTTGACTTATTTAGGCATTACTGATAATATGGTACTGGCAATTTATGCAGTGCTTTACATACTGTATATTGTAGAATCATATCAGTCCTGGGATTCAAGGAACTTCAAATTTAATTTAGCAATTATAAATACATAAAAGTCATTATCAGCAAAAAAGTAGGAACCGGTCCATGAGAATTTCCCCTGAAACCACATATAGTAACCTCAATGATTCTGCATGGAATCAGTCACTGTGTAGCTGAAAGATCTACAGTGCACAAGCCTCCAAACTTAAAGTAAATCTGTACTTTTCCCATGCAGGACAAATCATTAGATTTACAATGTTTACTCCCCAACATCTCATTCAGCCACTAAGAGTAAAACAAAACCCCATGTAATCTACATTGCTTCATTTGTTGCAAAGGTTAGCATAGTAAAACAATTACAATTTGACTAAGGAGAGAATGTGCATATCTGTATGTTAAAGCTTTGTATAATTAAGGGGAGACAGATGGTGACTACTGAAGTAATAACATCATTAAAATAGCATTATGGAAAACCAAAAGAGTACAAAGCTATCATTTTTATTTATATGATATGCAAATAAAATGAAAATCAAATGTCAAAGTATAGAGAGCAGGCAGAGAGATTTTTCCACCTTTAATATGTCTGTTATAATCTAGGTCTAACTAAAATATAACTCCAATCTATGGAGTGTATTCTCCATATAATCTGATGCAGGACCTGCTAGGGGTTATTGAAAATACAGGTCCTTACCACTCACACCATTGGAAGATACACTATATTGCCAAAAGTATTGGGACACCCCTCCAAACTCATTGGATTCAGGTGTTCCAAACACCTACATGCTCACAGGTGTATAAAATAAAGCACCTAGGCATGCAGACTGCTTCTACAAACATTTGTGAAAGAATGGGTCACTCTCAAGAGCTCAGTGAATTCAAGCATGGTACAGCGATAGGTAGCCACATGTGCAGTAAGTCCATCTGTGAAATTTCCTTGCTATTAAATATTCCACAGTCAACTGTTAGTGGTATTATAACAAAGTGGAAGCAACTGGGAACAACAGCAACTAAGCCATGAAGTGGTACATGGAAGCACATGCTGAAGCACATAGTGCACAGAAGTCACCAACTGTCTGCAGAGTCCATAGCTAAAGACCTCCAAACTTCATGTGGCCTTCGGATTAGCACAACAGTGCATACAGAGCTTCATGGAATGAGTTTCCATGGCTGAGCAGCTGCATTCACGCTTTACATCACGATGTGCAATGCAAAGCGTCAGATGCAGTGGTATAATGCATGCCACCACTGGACTGTAGAGCAATGGAGACTCTGGAGTGATAAATCACACTTCTGTCTGGTGATGTCTGGGTTTGGCGGTTGACAGGAGAACAATACTTGCCTGACTGCATTGTGCCAAGTGTAAAGTTTGGTGGAGGGGGGATTATGGTGTGGGGTTGTTTTTCAGGGGTTGGCCTTGGCCCTTTAGTTCCAGTGAAGAAAACTCTTAAGGTGTCAGCATACCAAGACATTTTGGACAATTTCATGCACCCAAGTTTGTGAGAACAGTTTGGGGATGGCCCCTTCCTGTTCCAACATGAATGAGCACCAGGGAACAAAGCGAGGACCATAGAGACATGGATGAGCGAGTTTGGGGTGGAGGAACGTGACTGGCCTGCACAGAGTCCTGACCTCAACATGATAGAACACTTTTGGGATGAATTAGAGTGGAGACTACGAGCCAGGCCTTCTCGTCCGACATCAGTGCCTGACCTCACAAATGCGCTTCTGGAAGAATGATCAAACATTCCCATAGACACTCCTAATCCTTGTGGACAGCCTTTCCTGAAAAGCTGAAGCTGTTATAGCTGCAAAGGGTGGGCCAACTTAATACTGAACCCTAAGGACTAAGACTGGGATGCCATTAAAGTTCATGTGCCCCAATACTTTTGGCAATATAGTGTATGTAAGATGCACCCATGCAGGGGTACTGGGATGTTCATCTTACAGCAAAGCTTTGGCTGTCATAGTATGAGAAGAATTTGGGACAGGGAAGGGGAAATCTTGCCTCTATGGATGCACACAAAAGTAAAGATCATGCTGGGAATGAATCTCTCTCTACTCCTTCAAAATATTTTTAAAAAAAATCAGTGGGTTCCACTTTGAAAAGTACTTTATACAAAATACATTTCCCCACCCTCACACAATTGTGAAATGTAAACCTCAAATTTTAAGTCAGCCTGCTTCAACAGTGAGTATGTGACTGCAATTGTATATGACTAGCTGGAGGGTACATGTTACAGAACTTTTGCACCCCGTAGTGAATTCTTCAGAGGAAATATTCAAAACTCAAGCTGGTGATAAGTGAAACACTGAACTTAGCCTGTAAAGCTGCCTACAAGCTTTACAGATCTGAATGGATAGACTTCTAAAGATCTACCAACAACTATGTAGTGAAAATGCCTGCCTTGTTGAATCCAAAAAGGAGATTGTACTAGGGTTATGTAATCAATTTTTCACATGTATGATTAGTTTTAGTACCCCTAATATGGCTCATTACTGGGGGGGGGGGGGTTATAAGCAGGGTCATACAAGTTCAGGCCTATTATCTTATTATGTTTTATCTTGGGTGGAGTTGCTCTTTAATGTATAGGTTACCCAGTTATCCCACACCAGTAGTTACTAAGAAGTACAGCTATTGTAGTATTACTGTTTATTGTACCTAGTATTATCCCCAGTACAACAACTTAGTCACTATATTAGTCTGTGTTGGATAAAACAAAGCCAGTGCATGCACAAGATGATTACCATTGGAATATAGCTCTCATCCTCTTCTCCTGAGACAGGATTGGCAAAGATATTTGCTGAGCTAATACAGTCGCTTTCTGGGGAGATAAAGCTGGTCCGATTACTAGGAAGAAAAACATGGAAGAGGTCAGACAAGCATTTTACAGATGCTCTGAAATGCAGCCAACTCCTGACATTGCACATATGTCCCATAAACATGCCCTGCAGGAATAACAATATAAAAGTGAGGTCCGCTGGCAAAGAGTCAGCATGAATCAGACACCACCAAGATAGGCATCTAGATGGTAAACAGCGGCCGGCCAGTCATTCAGACAAATGGCTTTATGAAGGTTGTCCACCCAGTGCAATACACAGCAGACATAATGCGTTTGTCTGCAATGCACCGAGCAGCTGTGTCTCCATGCTATATTTATTTGTTTCTCTTCCAAAGGTTGGGCCTGATTCATACCTTACTGCTTATTTCTCTTCTCTTTGTCATATTTGCTTTATGAGACACCAGGGGCCCTTGTATTGAACTGATCATCTGCTGCCAATGTTCAGGTTTGCAGCTGTGCTGAACACTGACATACAAGCTTCCATGAAGTGCTGTTTACAAAGCACTAAAAGGATGATAAATATTAGTATAAGTAAACACTAAAAGCGTATTAGGAGTGATAACAGCAGGCCCCAAGTGTCACCAAGATGGGTGTGGCTGATATTGAGACGTCATCGGTATCATTACTAGGCAACACTTTAATTGTACGGTGTATAACTAACAATTATTACAACAGGAATCTGTCATCTTCAGCAAAATATACTATCAAGACAAACGGCACCCACAACGATACAATGACTCAGCCAAGGTCTCCTAAATAGACAGTCTGAAATAATGTAAACATTTTTCATCATGATGTGCGTTTGGTTTGCAGATCATCATTGTTATTTTCTCAGTTTCTTTCTACAATCATAACATTAACATAGCTGAACATCAAGTTATCAAAACTAGAGTGGAAATGTACTTAATAAAACACAAGGAGCTTCATGTACAAACTAGTTTAACCAGTTGTGAACCTTTAAATGTATGAGGTATACCACAAAAAAAAAATCATCTCTTGGGTATATCCTCATCCTTCTCCCAGGATGCAGCAAAATCACCAAATACTACATTGGTAGCCATGTGAGGCAATCTATAGACGTTTTTAGAAGGCCCACATCATAACACCAGCCCTAGTTGAGGCGAAAATTTCTCAGTTGCTCTGGACCTCTAAAAATAGGGCCTAACATTATTTATTAAGTCTGACTATGATCCAGAACTTTTATATCTGCATGGCCATACTGTAGGACCTTAAGTGATATTGTATGTGACATCTACAACCCCAGCATACAACTGCATAAAAACATAGAAGACTGAAAGAAGAAAAAAAAAGAAAACTAAGTGGTCCATCAAGCAGTCGAAACATACCAGGGAATAGAGCAGTTGAGAGCTTTCGATCACAAAATTGTACACCTGTTATGACCAATGTACAAGGTTGGTTTGTCACTAAGAAAGACAGGTAGCTAATACTATGGTAAACAAAAGCAAAACAGGGCGCACTCTCTTTGTGCATTACCAAGGTGAAACACGAGTTTATTTGAAAGCATAAAAATGCATACTCACGAGCCAGGGAAAAAGGGAGTATGTATCCCGAAATGCGTTCGCCTACCACTTTGGACCGGCATCATGGACTCTATATTTCTGTTTTTATCCCCCTTTGCTTTGTGAGTATGCATTTTTATGCTTTCAAATAGAGTCCATGATGCCGGTCCAAAGTGGCAGTAGATCCTTGGTGAGGTAAGCGAACGCATTTTGGGAGACGTACTCCCTTTTTCCCTGGCTCGTGAGTATGCATTTTTATGCTTTCAAATAAACTCGTGTTTCACCACAGTAATGCACGAAGCAGGGGCGGACTGACAACTCATGGGGCCCCTGTGTCCTTGCCCAAACTCAAAAAGCCTATGAAAAGGGTACTATGGGCATCTCATGGGGCCCCCTACTGACCCCAAGCCCTCGGGCACTGCCCGAGTTTCCAAATGATCAGTCCACCCCTGGCACGAAGAAAGTGCGCCCTGTTTTGCTTTTGTTTACCAGTATCAAGATTTCCCGATCTTCTAAAGGCTGCACCTCAACCAATGACAGTTCCAGTCATCCCAGTCAGCATGAAGATTTGAGCGCTGGTTTTGTTTGTTCATTTGGATAGCTAATACTATGGGGTTGATTTATTATAGCTGGAAAGTGCAAAATCTGCTGCAGCTCTGCATAGAAACCAATCAGCTTCCAGTTTTTTTTTTTGTCAAAGCTTAAAGGATAAGTTCACTTTTCGTAACATGTCATATTCAGGGTATAACATGTAACATGTTATGAAAGGACCGGCCCCCGCTCCCCCCTAATCCCCCATTGTGACAGCTAGTGGGGGATCTTCACCTCCCTCTAGCTGTCACAAATTTTAAAAAATGTGGTCGTGTGGGGCTCCGTCCACCTGGCCATGTCACTCGTTCACAGTATTCTGTGAATGTGAAAACTACAAGTTCTGACAGCCTACAAGCTGTCGGCTTGTAGTTCTCAATTAACTACCACAGAGCTGTTGAGTGTTGTGGTAGTTCATAGATTCTGTCAGTGTGTATCTGCTTGCACGTATGAGGTGTGAGCACATAGATACACCGACAGGTCTGCAGGAGTTCTACATGGCACCAGTAATTAGCTGATCACTGGTGCAATGCTTTCCAGGCTCCCAAAAGAAAGCATAGTACATTTATTATTTTTTCGTTAAAAGGTGAACTTATCCTTTAATTGAGCAAGCTGAAGTTAGAAGCCGATTGGCTATCATGCACAGTTGCACCAGATATTGCGCTCTCCAGGTTTAGTAAATCAACCCCTCTATGTAGACACCTGAATAACTGCATAGCTGGTAACAATTGTCAACTCATCCCTTTAGGTACTTAAATTCACATATTATACAGATACTGTATCATAAATCGTTAGATCAACTGAGCCATCATGATTTACCATGGGAAAATGAAGCATGCTTGTCCTGCGGTGATAGGGTGCCTGCATGGATGTACAATCACATAGCAAATTGGGATCCCCAAGTGTACCCAGCAAATCATGCACTGATGTTTAATGCATATAGTGTGCTCTCTGTTCTAATAGGGTGCATTAAGTAATGTATATGTCAACGTTATAATTGAAAACAAAAAAAAAACAATACAAAGTAACTGTAATAAGACAAGCACAATAATTATCCATTAAGGAATGAAATATGCAAAGTATGTTATGCTGTTGCAGCAAAAAAAAAAGTAATTGAATGTGTGGGTATTTGTCATTGGTATATCTATTTTTACGCACCAGTGTATAGAATCTCATACCCTGGCTAGTACATATCCTTCTACCCATTGGCACAGAGATATGTGCCTCCCCATACTCCCGTTTGCAGAGATCTTTAGGTTCCTATGCACCATACAATAGGTAGTAATACATTTTACACATGTTGGTGCACTGTGGATTCATCCATTGTGAATGGCACCCCCAAACCCACCTTTATTGCAGTGCAGCAGACGTACCATGTGTTTGTGTTGTGCCAGTGAAAGTTGCAGCAGGGGAGATTTTTGGTCCATTGGGGTGTGCTAGGCAGCCTGTTAAATAAACTGCCATAGACTACCCTTGTATGACTTAGTGTTTAGGCTTTTTATTGCATTATCTATTTATTATTTCAGGTACTTGTATAGTGCAGTCAATTTATGCAGCGCTTTACACACACACACACACACGTATATTGTGCATTCACATAAGTCCCTAACCCTCAAGGGGCGTACAATCTAAGGTCCCTAACTTACATTCATACACATACTTTGGCCAATTTAGACGGGATCCAATTAACCTACCAGCATGTCTTTGTAACACTCACAGGCACAGGGAGAACATGCAAACTCCAGGCAGGTGGTGCCGTGGCTGGGATTCGAACCAACCACCCTAGTACTTATTATTACACAAGGTGTCCCTCTTTATCATTTCAGAAATTTGGGAGGTATGACTATAGAAATTGACAAGGATGTTGCTTTACAGCACAGAATCTACTGAAAAACCCAATTCACCAAATAAACCTTTTACTGCAATTTTCGCTGCTCTGGTACAGTTTCCCTGCAGTGCTGGTGCAGCGCTGTGTACCCACACTTTCCCACTCCTTCAGCCGCCATGTTGCATCTTTCAGGCAATTACACTAACAATTTACAAGGAATTAATAGATGGACTGAAGAGTAAATGTATGCATAAATAACTGCCTGAACTCAGCTACACTTTTATTTAAATTGACTGCCAGGAATACAATGAAAAATCTCTGTTAATAGCAAGAGAATGGCATGCCCATATCAAAGATGTCTAATTTAGATACAAGCCACACTCTGAACAATATTGAAAGGCATCAAGCAGTTTACATTACTCAAATACAACAGCACAAAAACAAAACAAAAAAACACAACACAAAAAGGATAAAGTATGGACTACTTACTAAGGCACTGTCCACGTTCTTGTAATTGGTGCATGTTCTCTTATTGTGGAAAGGTTCCGCAGATCCAGGGGAGGTGGGCGCACTGCAGACACAAAAGTTTGGAGTTAAACTGTGTTATAGAGAGATGTTCAATGGAACGTCTAGAACGCCAGAAAGACCAAGGTGATTTTTCATGAATTGTCTATTGTCTTTTTAAACATTCTGTGCTAAATCTCAACTCCCTGCTTTATAGTAAAATGCCACTGACAGGACTGAAAAGAGGACCAGAAAAATCTGTGGCCTATGCTTGGCCACAAAGGACCCAATCTTGTCCCAATCCAATGGCAACAATCTGGTGAGAAAGGGGTCCAAATAGCATACCCAATAGCTGTTTAACAGATGATTGTCATCATATGTTGATAACCACCAATCAAAAATAAGAATAATTTAATTTATTAAGCACAACTTACAAATATAAAGGATAAAAAATCAAACGCTTAGCAACTGAAATTTTGTGAGCTAGACACGAAAAAAAAGTTTAGGGAACAACATGTTATCAATGTCTTAGACATAACCCTTTTATCCATGGGTCTGTCTGCCCCCTCAGATAGTGGCCCCCATAAAGGGGCCCCTTATGCATGCATGCACAATTGGACATCCCCTGTCATTACTGAAGCATACTCCCAATCTCCTGAATACTTCCCCTCTGTGGATTGGTTATGCAGCATGCATTCGCAGTAGGACTTCTCCTGTGTCTTCTCTCTGTGCTTGTGAATTTTATTGCCTAACATCTGCATGCCTACTGAGGCAAACCCTCACTAATGACCTACTGAAAACAGCACACCCCCACTAGTGACCTACTGCAATGTGCACACCCCCAGTAGTGAGCTGCTAGAATCTGCACACCCCCAGTAGTGAGCTGCTAGAATCTGCACACCCCCTTTAGTGACCTACTAGAATATGCACACGTGAGTTAGTGACCTACTGCAATTTGCACATCCCCACTAGTGACCTACTGCAAACTGCACACCCCTACTAGTGACCTACTGCAATCTTCACCCCCCCCCTCTAGTGAGCTGCTGCAATCTGCACACCCCCACTAGTGACCTACTAGAATATGCACACCCCCATTAGTGACCTACTGCAATCTGTATACCCCACTAGTGACCTACTGCAATCTGTATACCCCACTAGTGACCTACTGCAATCAATACATCCCCACTAGTGACCCACTACAATCTGCACATCCCCACTAGTGACTTACTGCAATCTGCACACCCACTACATAGTTACATACGTAGTCTGGCTGAAAAAAAAAAAACAAAGTCCATCCAGTTCAACTAAAAAAAAAAAAAAAAAAAAAGTTATAATCCTACACCCACAGTGGATCCAGAGAAGGGCACCCCCCCCCCCCCCCCCCCCGCGCAAAAGCAGGGGAGAAAATTATTTTCTGATCCCCTGAGAGGCAATCAGATAGTCCCTGGATCAACTTTACCTATAAATGTTAGTATCCAGTGATATCATGTGTATCTAGGAAAGAATCCAGGTCTTTTTTAAAACAATCCACTGAGCTGGACAGAACCAGGCTCAGACTCTTCAGGGAGTCTATTCTACATTTTCACAGCTCTTACTGTGAAGAAACCTTTCTGTATTTGGAGATTAAATCGCTTTTCCTCCAGTGCCCCCTTGTCCTCTGTGATGACCTCAGGGTGAATAACTCTACACCTAGTTCACTAAATGAACTAATGTATTTACCGTATACATGTTGATCATATCCCCCCTTAATCTCCTCTTCTCAAGCGAGAATAAATTCAGTTCCTCTAATCTTTCCTCATAGCTGAGCTCCTCCATGCCTCTTTGGTTGCCCTTCTCTGCACTCTCTCAAGTTCCTCAATGTTCTTTTTGTGAATTGGTGTCCAAAACTGAACTGCATATTCCAGATGAGGTATTACTAATGATTTGTACAGGGTAATATGATATCTCTCTCTCTGGAGTCTATACCTCTTTTAATACAAGAAAGGATTTTGCTCACTTTAGAAACCGCAGCTTGGCATTGCATGCCATTATTAAGCTTGTGATCTACCAGAACTCCCAGATCCTTCTCCACCATTGATTCCCTCAGTTGTACCCCCCCTAGTGAATATGTTATAAATATTCTTAGCCCCCAAGTGCATAACCTTACATTTATCAACACTAGTGACCTACTGCAATCTGTACATCCCCACTAATGGCCAAATGCAATCTGCACACTCTACTAGAGACCTACTAGAATCTGCACACCCCCATTAGTGACCTACTGAAATCCACACATTCTACACTAGTAACCTACTGCAAACTGCACACCCCCACTAGTAAGCTGCTGGAATCTGCACACCCCCACTAGTGACCTATTAGAATATGCACACTCCCATTAGTGACCTACTGAAATCTGCACACCCCCTACTAGTAACCTACTGCAATCTGCAAACCCCCATTAGTGACCTACTGCAATATGCACATTTCTTCCTTGTTGCAGTTTGTACTTACAGCACTCAAATCTTTAGTATGCTTTGACAAAGTAAACAGCAGCCTCTGAAATGTAACTTTTTATGTCCACTTACTCTTTGCATAGGCTGCACTTTAAAGTGGAACCACACTGTATCTGAGCACTATAAACCAAAGCACAATTTAATTCATATTTAATATTCAAAGCACACTCCCCATTCCATCCATGTCTCCATGCTTTATTTTGCCGAGAAATCACTGGAAAAAACACTCCCCTATCATTTCCGGTTGTGGACATTTTGAGTACGGGCAAATGAATCATGTATCATTTACTTCCTGGAGTCCATTTGCCCTTAGCTCAGGCATGCAGACAGGAGGATGTGATTAGCTGAGAAAACCCCACCTCCCCTCCTGAAGACTCCTGATGTCAGTACTAGGCTCGTTGGTTCAAATCCCAACCATGGCACCACCTGCCTGCAGTTTGCATGTTCTCCCTGTCTTTGTGTGGCTTTCCTCCGGTACTCTGGTTTCCTCCCACACTGCAAAGACATGCTGGTAGGTTAATTGGCTCCTGTTTAAATTGGCCCTAGTATGTGTATGTATGAACGTAAGATAGGGACCTTAGATTGTATGCTCCGTGAGGGTTAGGGACAGATGTGAATGTATACATGTAAAGCATTGCATAAATTGACGGCGCTATATAAGTACCTGTAAAGAATAAAATAAAGTACATAATTTGCCTAGGCAGGGAAACCAGGAAGTAACTAAAGAAATGTAAAAAACATGATTTACTAATATTAGCAGCATAAAGAATGAAAATAGTCAATGTTAATTGATAGAATGAAGTTCCAATTTAATAATTGGCTTTATCTCCTGAATTACAGTTTTTCTTTATGGCTATATTTTTCCCCAAGTTTATTTTTTTGCTACGGTTCCTCTAGCATCCAGCATCCAAGTGGCTTAATTGGAAGGACATTGTACCCTCTTTATTCCAGTCAGTGTAAACCTGTGAAGAGCAATGCAACAGGTTTACTTTAACCTATTCATCAGCAGCATATACTCCCCTGCTGCTGCTCTGTTCAAAAACTGGGTGCAAAGGAATGTCCTGTGTAAGTGAGGAGTCCCTAGAGATAAAGCTTACATATGCAAAGAAAAAATTATAAAAAGTACAGATCCTTACAGGTCCTATATTTATACTGAAGTAACAAGCTGAGAGGGAGCACACCACAAAGAAAATATATTCATAAAAACTTATTTAAAAAAATGGATTTTGCTCTACACCTCAACCAAAATCAACATAATTATACCCAACAAACATAAATGAACTGTATGTCTAGAAAATAATTAGTACTGACAGATATGACTTAAAAATTTCATTTATTGATTAATACACCCAAAAACACAATGAACATACACAAATGAATCCATTAAAAATGAAGAGTCATGTCCTGAAATGACTGGAGTGTATTTAAACTGTAACTACACATATTTCCATCTGCTCAAAATCAATACCAAATGACCAATCAGAGCTGAGAGCTCTCAGAGAAATAAAGGGGACAGTTATAAGGATAGATAAGGTGGCCTCCAAATAAAATCAGCATGCTGGACAAATATTCCCCAAAATCCATCCTCAAAACAGTTGGCTATATACTGTATAGGGTAAATTGCTGATAAGGTAGATCTGCCAATATATTTTGGGCCGAGGTTAAGCCAGATTGAACCCAATGTTCCTTGTGCTAAAAGTGGCATCAAATATACCTGCGCTTGAAATTTCATAGATGGACAAAGATAGGTACATGTTCTACAGTCACCATTGTCCATATTACAAGGAACAATTGGATGTGGTCCAGAGAAAAAAAACAGAACTTCTATGAAGGTGTACTAAAGATATATATTGGCACACATTAATTTCATATATCCGCCAACCTCCCTCGCACAACTGGACATAGAGGACATCCACATACACTTAGACTTGATTGACCAACACATGTAACAAATGTGTATCTCCGCCAAAATGCAGATCAGAGGCTTGGAGTAAAGTTTCAATGTAACAATGGTGGCCTTTTCGTATCCACAGTTTAATACAACTCAAATGTTGCCCTTCATGCTTGCAAGACAGGTATACATATCAATCGATTGGATAGTCCAAAAAGTTAGTTCTGATATGACTGATGCTCCGCTTGACCAGTTTCTCTTGACCCACCCGGCTGCATCAGAGACATATGCCTACATATGGTTATGGACTCCCTATGTGGATAGAACGAGTGTCCCTTCACTATCTCTTAGAATGGGCCAAATATTTCTCCATACGCAGAACTATTGTGTATTTCCTTGGCTGCTGGTGCTGAAAGGAATAATAGGAGAGTAGAAGAATAGTAAGTGTATGCTGAAGAGGGGTAAGGGAATAATATACACCTGCTGCTTTTCCCTGAATAGGCAAAGTGCAGGTTTGCTTTAAAGGGGAGAACCATTTACTTGTCACTGTTATCAGGAGAAAGGTGGCAGAGCATTCCAGCAACATTCCTAAAGCAGAGTTCTGGGCAAAAAAAAAAATTTGTGGCATGCAGTGGGGCTGTGCCCACAGTGCATGGGCTAACTGCTCGTTTGTGTCTAGGGGTGATCAGAGCAAAGATATATACTTACCTAATCTGCTGATCCTCCAAGTGCAAGACCAGTCCCTGCCGCTTCTGCCCACTAGCAGTCCTGTGAATGGACGGTTCCTGACATCATGTCCATAGACCAGCTTTGGGCATGAATACGGCAGGAGCAGTCCACTGCAGGATGTTGGGGGAGCGCCATTTTTGGGAGCTTTGAAGGACAAAGTAAGCAGAGCCTTTCGGGGGCCCCCTGGACAAAATAAGCAGTTAACCCATGGGACAAAAAAAAAAAAAAAAAAAAATTACATGGCGTTCTGCTTTAAAAATGCTGACCTATTTCTCTTATGAAGGATGCAGAACAGCGATAAAGAGATTCAGTATCAGAGAATAAAGCTTCTGATCATCTCCATAGGTAAAATTCCCAAGAAGGATATACCCACAGGTGACAATACACATAAAGGTGAGGAGTTCACCCTGTTTTTTGTTAAATGAGGAAAACCCATTTAGTGTCGATATAAGAAAGAAGAAGAAACGATATAACTTTACTGGCTAATTGGTTCTTTTATTCTCTAGTGTGAAGGTTTGAGTTCCATTAGTGATGTACTTATTCTGTCGAGAGTATGTTATAATTAATACCACGGTGGTGGGAGGTGAAATCAAAAGAGATTGCTTTCAATAACAGCACAACGTCTTTTCTTAACTCAAACTATTCCAAGAATTAGAATAGCATTTCTCTCGCTTCTGTTGGTAACTCTACAAAAAACTCTGCATCGACATAAATAATATTTTAATGCAGGCAACACAAGTTAAGAAGCCATTAAAGCCTTTTGGTTTGTAAAACAAACTGTTTAAAAGAAAATTGCTTCTTTGATAAAAGCCCCCCTTGTGTGAAAGAGAACTTGGCAATTATCACCAACATATACAGTATGTAAGGGATTCTGTGAAGGACCTGCATTCCTTACAAACAAGCAGTGGGCTTCTCAAAGAATAACATATGAAATTTACTTAATGTCAAAAAAGTATCTATCTCCTAAAGCAGGCAATTAGACTCAAGAGGTCATGTGTAAATATAGGTTGGGAAATAAAAAGAAATACAGTGCTGTAGGTTGCTGTGGGCAACACAAGCTTTCCTTTCTCTTCCTCCGCTTTTTTTAAATAAGGCCTGCTAAGATGGATTTCTAAGAAAACCAGATGCTTGTTAGTTCATGCTTGGCAACATTTACAAATAATTTGCAGAAATATGTTCCTGGCAGTCGAGTCATGGAACTATGTTATACACTGTACAATCTACTTTTGATCGACATTAGGGTAGTCTGTGAATGTCTAACATGTTACATATATAGGGTCACTATGAATCGACATTGAACCTGGAATGCCTAGTTGTAAATCAAGGGATTTGGTACAATATCAGTCCTAGTTCACTTTTATGATGCAGATCATTAAAGGTAGGTCATACTTATCATGATAATAAGGTTTTTTGATTTGATATTGGCTCAAATTCTAGCAGCTCCTAGATGTTTATTGTGTTCAGTGCTCCCTGAAACAACAATTACAATTCTGGCTGTCACTATTTTTTTTGAAAAAAAGTGTAAGGTGTACCCATTTTTTACCAGTTGGACACTGGAGAAAGAATAGAAGGTGCCAAGTCTCTTGCTTTTGTCTGTATGCATAGCAGCCATAGGACATTGAAAACCTAACAGAGTTTCTGACATTTCCCTATGCTACAAAAAGGTTTCTGTGCTGCTATTGTTGGTCACATTGGCAAGATTCCCCATTACTTCCTGTTCCTCTAGTCCCATGTCAGCAAGACAGAAAATCAAGGAGAAATTTCATCAAAGCAAATCAAGGCCAGAACTGGATCTAGCCTATTTGATCAGGGGGTTCAGTAAAAAAATAATCAGGGGGCATAATGCCAACACTGTGTGTGAGTCACTGACAGTCTGTAACACAGTGTAACAACCTGGGAAATACTGTGAAAGTATACCTTATGGCGCCGCTCCAAGTTATGGATGGAAGGAAAAGGATCATCTCTCCGGTAAGTGAGAAGAGGGGAGCATGAGTTCAAGCGATTCCATTGTCAGCCAATACAAGTGAAAGGGTGGATGATGCTCAACCGATCCCAGGAGTCTAATGTTGAGGAATGGCCTCAGTCGCCATTCTGACCATGCCCTCTGATGCGTTTTGCCCCGTTCACCGGGGCTTGGTCACAGAGCTGTTAACAAGCCCCAGTGGACAGGGGCAAAACACGTCAGAGGGGCTGACCAGAATGACAGCTTAGGTCATTCCTGAACATTGGACTCCTGGGATTGGTTTAGCAGCGTCCATCCCTTAACCTGGGAAACATTATTATGTATTAGGTTGTCATTAGATTAGGGTGACTCATCAGAGTCCCCTTTTACATCAGGTTCCCATTATAGTGACCTCTTACATCAGTATCCCTAATAGAGTACCCCCTTACATCAATTGTCCCCATCAGAGTTACATATGATCAGTCATCCCCATTAAAGTGCTCCCCGACATGAGGTGTCCCCATCAGAGTGCCCCCTTACATGGATTGTCCCCTTCTTATGTCAACTGTCTGCATCTGACTGGCTCATGGATCAGTGGATCCATTCTCAGAGACTGGGGGGGGGGGGGGGGGGGCACAACTAAAACCTGGGGGGGCAAAGCCCACCCCACCACCCTCGTAGATCCGGCCCTGATTCAAGGCAGCAATAAAAACTTTCCAACACTATCATACTGTGTCCAAAACTTAAATAAATGTTTTGACTGGAATTGTTTTAGCAATGACAAACCATATATTGGAACTGAAAAGATAACATTTAATATCACTATGTTTATTAAGATTTACAAAACAGCAATGCAACTTACTCTTTCTTCGTGGCTTTAGGTCCCGATTTACAGGAGGTGGTTCCAGGTCTGTGGGGAGATCTGGCAAAGGACTGGAAACCTTGGAGTTAACTGATGCAGGGAAGCTGAAGGCTGCAGTTACTGGGCTCATAGGTATATATCCGTCTGTACTACAGTCTGACTCTGAACATGGTGGGGAAGCATTTGGGTTCATGGGGACATAGCTGTCATCTGAGCAGTCTGAAGCGAAGGAATGCTGCGGTGTAAACCTGGGCTAAAATACAAAATAGACGTTATTATCAATACTGTGCTTTCATTAGTAAAGAACTGATCATAGGCCATAATACACATCAAAGATCAATAACTACAGCAATTGGTGATTATATTTAGCAGTGTTACATAGTCATATGACTAATACACACAATGAAATATTTGATTTCTGAAGGAAAGGTGACCCCTGGAAGAGTTTACCCTTTCGAGACTCAACTAACCAGCTGCACACAGACTTAAAAATAATCAGATGTAAGTTGCTGGGTCCGACCAAAAACACTGAGCAGACCCAAGCTCACTTGCAGTCTTCAAATCACATTTATTTAGTCTACAAATAACTGACCACAGAGATCCTAAGTGTAGGGATCACTGCCAGTGTAGTGGAAACTGGAAAAGCTCTTTAAAAGGGACTTTTATGAGAAAAAAGTGGGAATATCTTCGTGTAGTAACATTTTTCTCAGGACAGATATGGTAATATATTGCCAAGATTCTCTGTAGGGCTTCTTAGTCTCATCTTAGTAGTTCACCTTCAGTCCGCCAAGCACAAGGATCCACCATATACACATATATGCAACCTCTGAGGACTGATTGGGTCTGCTTTTACTATTCAGAAGATTGATCCTGCCAGTCCCTACATCATCCTCGATTGACTTCCATGTCCTTACCACTTAATCATTATCTTGTCCTCATCTCCTATTGATCCCAATTAGATGTCTTTGACTTCATGTTCTTTCACTTTACTGGTTATCTGAGTGTGTGGAGTGTGTGTGGAGTGTGTAACTGTGTGCCCGGGAGGGTCTTTTACTATATGGCAACGTTGTCATGTTTTTATGGTGCAGGGTGGAGGGCATTGTTGGTTTTTGTACTTGGTATGTCATTTTCAATAAATACGGTGTTTGAAGCCGCAGCTTTCTTCTCTTGAGGACTTCTTTTCCAGTGAGTTCTTTACTTACAGGGTTTCTTTTTACCGCCAAGCACTTCAGCTGCAGGTGTATTGTGGCGATATGATTAATATGCTAATTGATTCACATTTTGTCCAGGAAGCCAGGAGGTATAGAGTGACAACCCTGGCTGATGTTTTGGTTGTGGACTGTTGTGGTTTCTATAACATTTAAAGCAAACATGCAATTTTAAACACTGACATTTATGTGGTGTCCTTTCACCACCCAATTTTTTTCTGCCACGTCATGTAATAAACTTCCCACCTGTCACTAGGTCACTATTTTAGTTTCAAGTTATGTGCAAAAGAAAAAACAAACATTTGAAGATGAGCTTCAGTTCTTGGCAACAATAGATGTTAACTGAATAAATGCAATTCCACAGCTGACCACTAGGAGCCTCTACTACATTCTGAAAAGTTACAGGTGTCACTGTAGATATTGTGGGCACATTAAAGTCTAGCAGTTTTTAAAGAGTACATTTACTAGGTACGGGGGCATACATTTACTAGGTGACGGGGGCATACATTTACTAGGTGACGGGGGCATACATTTACTAGGTGACGGGGGCATACATTTACTAGGTGACGGGGGCATACATTTACTAGGTGACGGGGGCATACATACACGGGGGCATACATTTACTAGGTGACGGGGCATACATTTACTAGGTGACGGGGGCATACATTTACTAGGTGACGGGGGCATACATTTACTAGGTGACGGGGGCATACATTTACTAGGTGACTGGGGCATACATTTACTAGGTGACAGGGGCATACATTTACTGGACGAGGGCATACAGGCCAATACATTTACTGGACGACGGGGGCATACATTTACTGGACGACGGGGCATACATTTACTGGACGACGGGGGCATACATTTACTGGGCCACGGGGGCATACATTTACTGGGCCACGGGGGCATACATTTACTGGGTCACGGGGGCATACAATTACTAGGCGACGGGGGCATACAATTACTGGGTCACGGGGGCATACAATTACTGGGTCACGGGGGGGCATACATTACTGGGCGACGGGGGGCCTACAACTACTGGGCGACGGGGGGCCTACAACAACTACTACTGGGCGACGGGGGGGGGCCTACAACTACTGGGCGACGGGGGGCCTACAACTACTGGGCGACGGGGGGCCTACAACTACTGGGCGACGGGGGGCCTACAACTACTGGGCCACGGGGGCCTACAACTACTGGGCCACGGGGGCATACAACTACTGGGCCACGGGGGCATACAACTACTGGGCCACGGGGGCATACAACTACTGGGCCACGGGGGCTACTGGGCCACGGGGGCATACATACTACTGGGCCACGGGGGCATACATCTACTGGGCCACGGGGGCATACAACTACTGGGCCACGGGGGCATACAACTACTGGGCCACGGGGGCATACAACTACTGGGCCACGGGGGCATACAACTACTGGGCCACGGGGGCATACAACTACTGGGCCGCGGGGGCATACAATTACTGGGCCGCAGTGGCATACATTTACGGGGCCGCAGTGGCATACATTTGCTGGGGCCGCAGTGGCATACATTTGCTGGGGCCACAGTGGCATACATTTGCTGGGGCCACAGTGGCATACATTTGCTGGGGCCACAGTGGCATACATTTGCTGGGGCCACAGTGGCATACATTTGCTGGGGCCACAGTGGCATACATTTGCTGGGGCCACAGTGGCATACATTTGCTGGGGCCACAGTGGCATACATTTGCTGGGGGGCCACAGTGGCATACATTTACTGGGTCACAGGTGCGTACAATTACTGGGTCACAGGGGCATACAATTAGTTGGTCACAGGGGCATACAATTAGTTGGTCACAGTGGCATACATTTACTGGGTCACGGGGGCGTACAATTACTTGGTCAAGGGCGTACAATTACTGGGTCACAGTGGCATCAGGGGCAGACTGACAACTCATGGGGCCCCCGGGCAATAGGGGATCATGGGGCCCCTGTGTCCTTGCCCAAACTCAAAAAAGTCTATGAAAAAGGTACCAGGGGCATCTCATGGGGCCCCCTACTGACCCCGGGCAGTGCCCGAGTTTCCAAATGGTCAGTCCGCCCCTAAATGACATACATTTACTGGGTCACCGTGGCATACATTTACTGGGTCACAGTGGCATACATTTACTGGGTCATGGGCGTACAATTACTAGGTCAGAGGGGCATACATTTACTGGGTCACAGGCGTACAATTACTGGGTCACAGTGTCATACATTTACTGGGTCACGGTCGTACAATTACTGGATCAGAGGGGCATACATTTAGTGGGTCAATGTGGCTGCCACTGCTGACCTTCATTTAAAACAAATGCTAGCTGCCTGACTGCCAATGCCTTCAGTTCTTTAAAGCTATTTTTTTCTAGGAGTCACATAGGGCTACCATTGTCAAAAACCTGTTTAGGATCCTAGTTTTTTGACCAGCTGGGTTCAATAAGGTCTGAGTCACTGACCTGAAACACGTCAGATTAAAGTCAGACATCCTTATTTGCATACATGTTCCACGTGTGGGATGGTAAGCAGACAGGCAGCATTTTCAAATGAGAAGTAGCAATGACAGCCTCAATGCCTCTCTCAGGATAGGTTGCCTTTAACATGCAGCAAGGAAAATCAAAGTAAATTCATAACTCCAGCCTTTTCCAGGTCAGTGACTCCATGACTCAGAACGATAGTAATATTATTGGATCAGTATGTCAGCCAGGCAATCCGCATTTTCAGAAGCATCTAGATCCTAGCAGTAGCTATCAGACATGTTCCCCATTGAAAAAAAAAAACTGAGACCCAGACATCTTATCAAGCTATTGCCTTTTAAATTCTTATTCATTTTTTAAAATTATTATATTGTGACTTATTGTATAGCAAGGTAGTCTCAAACCTCCTGCTATATTACTAGAATATAAAATGCAAAAAAAAAAAAAAAAAAAAAACACAACAGGAACAGTTAGAAACCTTCATAAAAGGACACAGCAGGTGTATAGAGCTAAGACATCATGTAAATATCAAATGAAAATGTACTATACCAACCAGATTTAAGCTAAGCCTCTTGTCCCTACTTCGTAACGAGCAGTCTTCCACATCACCTGAAAGAGAGAATATTTCAATGAGCAAGAATACAATACTTATTTTTAAAACTAACTTTATTGCATAGCAAGAAGCAGAAGCAATAATCCATCTGTAAATATAATTATCATTGGGTGGATATTAAAAACATACATCTGTGTACAATAAAATGAAATAAAATATATAAAAGTAATAGGGATGTTTATCATGAAGGTGCACCCTGATCAATGGTATCAACACAAATTTAGTAGCACTGCATTAGATGAATAAGCATCCATTAACTTGAAGCATAATGTAATTCCAGACAAATAACAGCCATTTCTGTGAAAGGAAAAAAAAAAAAAAAAAAAGTTTTCAGGGTCCTTATGTCTCCAACATTAATGCCATAGTATCCTATACATTAAAACAATTAAGAGGAACACCTTGAAGGAGCTTAGAAGAAAAATGATGACGTATGAAGTGCGCCGCCCATCGGACATATAGGGAAGGGGGGTCCAAAAAGGGAAGGGGGGGTGTCACTGGTGCCAGAGTAAAATAAGCCCCAATGTTGGTGTCAGTGGTTAAACACATGTTGTTGGTATCATTAAGATAGAATACTACATCAGTGGTACCAATGAGTATTTGATTATTTTGCTGTGTCATAATAGTGGGGTGAGGCACTGGCACAGCACAGACTCCAAAACTTGATAAATAGGAGGGCTTCAGAAATTGATGAAAACTTGCTAGGTTATCTATAGAGGTCTCAAAAGCTAGACCAATAAAATAAACAGAAACAGAGTAATGTCAGAACTTTGTAAATCCACTTTTTTTTTACAGAGTTAGTTATTTAAAATATTAGAAGTGTGGCCAATGCTACAGAAGCTGTACTTCTGTACTTTTTGGATGTACTGCTTTTTGTGGGTCACAGGAATAAACTTACTTTTGTACTCCTGCACTCAGAGTCAGCCTATAGCGGGCTATTACCCGCTGTCAGCTGAAGGAGCAGATCAGCTCCAGGTTCTGGAATGATCCCAAAAAATATTGTTGGGATACACCCAGCTGCCTTATTGACAACTGGCTCCATCTCCCTGCATGTGGCTGGGAGCCCAAGTCATTTGCATCTGCCCCCTCTCCAGTGAGGGGCATAGCTGGAGAGTGGTGACTGACAATACCTGCTCTCCACACCAAGCAGACTGAAAACTTAGCAACCAGTGGTTATGTCATCACTCAGTTCTCAGTCTTAGGAGTTAATCTGTCAAATTTGTTTCATAAACCCATACTCCTTTAAAGCCTATGTGCAAAACAACCCAGAAAAATCCGCACAAGGGGCATAACTTGCTGACAGTGGGATGTGTCCCTTGTGCTGATGCCTCTTCTTTAATTTGAAGTCCACCGACGTCCATGCCCCTCCCCCCACCCATGCCGCCATAAGCTTCTAGTACGGTGGGGGTTAATATATCTAAGGGTCTGTTACAGAGATTGACTATGCCCGCCCTTTCAACCTAGCCCCGCCATCCGCCATTCACAGAAGCCGTACTACAGCTTCTATGACTATAACAGGATCTAAGAATGGAGGGGCGGACGATTGATATATCTATGAGATCTTACTTGTATTAATCCCTGCAGCACTACAAGAATAAGGTGTGGGGGCGCATGGATGGACGGGAAGAGGAGTTCAAAGAGAAATCATCACAAGGTACACTTCCTACTGACTGTAAGTTTTGCTACTTTGGAGAGTGATTTGCATTGTTGTCTCTCCTTTAGGATGATATCTGCCAAACGTGGGTACCATAAGCCTAGACAAGGAGTGAGGTAGAATCTGGAACTGGCGAACAACATAACTACATTACATTAGGTAGCAGTTTGGCAGTGGTAAAAGTTGCTTCACATGGCTTAATTTGCAGAGGAATAAGAAATTCACATTTTTTTCCAATCACTAAAATGACCATTAATGTTAATCATACAAGGTTTAGGGTAAGAAGTTCCTTGTTTATGAAGAAAGTCCTCAAGAAAAAGAGTCCAGTCACACTATGCTCACAGGTGTACATTTACACACATTGAGACACACTGCATTAAAGGCTAATTAAAAAAAAAAATGCACATCTTTTTGCAGGTAAAAAAATGTGAATTTATTATTTTTTTTTTATGCTGGAGCCTGTACAGCATTACACCGGCGATCAGCAGATCGTAAGTACAATGCAAGGCTCCTTCAGACTCTCAGTACACTGTCTGCCCTTACTTAACACTAGCAGGCAGCTACTGAATTGCAGGAAGAATTAAGGAACTACATGAGCGCTTACTAGTGCTCTAGCGGCTTATTGAGAACTACAAGCCATCGGTCGCAGCAGCCAACAGTACTTCAGAAGGTAGTTCATTCATTCACAGAACTTTGTGAATGAATGATGTGACCATGTGGGGGAGCCCCGCAAGGCTGTGTTATTCTTAAATAGTAACAGCAGATGCAGGGAGAGGATCCCCCACCCGCTGTCACGGGGAAGAGGGCATCAGAGGGAGAGGAGGTAGGAGCTGGAACCCAACATAGATTGGCAGCACACCTTAAAGTGGTTGTAAGGACAGAAGTTCTTTTTTTTTTTTTTTTTACCTTACTGCAGTCTATTCAGTAAGGTAAAAAACCTTCTGCATGCAGCTTCTCCTGCAGCCCCCCTAAATACATACCTGTGCCTGTTCTCAATCCAGTGATGTGCACGAGAGCCAAGGCTCTCAAAGCTCTCTCCCTCCTCATTGGCTCAGATACAGCAGCGCAGGCTCCTGCTGATGTCAATCAGAGCCAGTAACAAAGGAGTGGAGGCCGAGCCCTGTTCTCCATGTCTTATGGACATACACAGCAGGGCTCGGGAACAAGCACGAACAAGTGCCCCCATAGCGAGTGGCTTGCTGAGAGCAGGAGCCAAGAAGAGGAGGGGGGATCCATGCTGCACTGTGCAAAACCATTCCACAGAGCAGGTAAGAATGGCATGTTTGTTATTTTAAAAACAAAGCTTTACAATCACTTTGTGATGCGCTGGCTAAAACTGGTAAAACTGTTAAGAACCACAATCTACCTACTGTAGTTCCATGCAATAACATGCGAAGGAGCCCAGAGTGTTGTAAAGTCCCGTGGTATCTGCTCACCATTCAACTGTCATTTTCACAGTGTAGGCTAGATACAGATAACTCACGTATGGGAACCATTACAATCTTTCTTACTCTCTTTTCTTGCTTGGGAGGTACAACAGATGGGTTAGCGACATTGCTTTTAGCTAATAAATTGCTTCAATAGCTTTGAATAACTTCAGTGATTTGTATGTATTAGAGACTGCTTAAACTATGTGAGAATCATAAGAAATACCACTGCATGCCGAACTGTATGCAGCCAAGTGTTACATTTAGCAATGTGTATGTGGAATCTCTGACAGAACAATGTCACAAACAGTGCTTATTATACCATAAACATCAATCAAAGCCTTTTACAGCTATCACTGGCTGAATTACATTTGAAGGATTATATCTGGCAGTACTAGGGTCATTGGTTCGAATCCCAACCACAGCACAACCTGCCTGGAGTTTGCATGTTCTCCCTGTGCCTGCGTGGGTTTCCTCAGGGTACTCCGGTTTCCTTCCACACTCCAAAGACATGTTGGTAGGTTAATTAGCTCCTGTCTAAATTGGCCCTCGTATATGTACATTTGTGTTCAAAATAATAGCAGTCAGACATAACTAACCTGATCACTGTTTTTGGTAGAAATGACATTTTCTACATGACAAATAATTTACTAGCAGGTGTAGCAGAGTAATAGAAATCCAACAGACCCAACAGTCATGACATGCATGCTGCTGATTCTGTGTAATTAAATCACTAATTGAAAGGGGCATATTCAAAATAATAGTAGTGTGGAGTTCTATTAGTGAGGTCATTCATTCTTTGGAAAACAGGTGGCAATTATTGCCCTTATTTAAGGAAGGAAGGCAGCAAATGTTGTACATGCTGGTTACAGTGCATTTCTCTCTAAAATTCTGAGGAAAATGGGTCGTTCCAGACATTGTTCAGAAGAACATCGTATCTTGATTAAAAAGTTGATTGGAGAGGGGAAAACATATAAAGAAGTGCAGAAAATGATAGGGCTGCTCAGCTAAAATGATCGCAAATGCTTTAAAATGGCAACCAAAACCTGAAAGACGTGGAAGAAAGAGAAAAACTACCATTCGAATGGATAGAAGAATAGCCAAAATGGCAAGGACTCAGCCAACAATCAGCTCCAGGAAGATCAAAGAAGGTCTAAAGTTACCTGTGAGTACTGTTACAATTAGAAGACGCCTATGTGAAGCCAAGCTATCTGCAAGTTTCTCATACTACGGTGTTGGGCCTATTTATCGCATGCCAGGGATCATGGATCAGTTTGAATACATCAGAATACTTGAAGAGGTCATGCTGCCTTATGCTGAAGAGGAAATGTCCTTGAAATGGGTGTTCCAACAAGACAACGACCCCAAACACACCAGTAAACGTGCAATATCTTGGTTCCAGACCTACAAGATTGACGTTATGGTGTGGCCAGCCCAATCCCCAGATCTTAATCCAATAGAAAATTTGTGGGGTGACATCAAAAATGCAGTTTCTGAGGCAAAACCAAGAAATTGAGAAGAACTGTGGAATGTAGTCCAATCATCCTGGGCTGGAATACCTGTTCACAGGTGCCAGAAGTTGGTTGACTCCATGCAACACAGATGTACAGCAGTTCTCAGAAACAGTGCTTATACAACTAAATATTCATTAAGTGATTCAAAGGAAAGCAAAATCTTCAAACATTTTTCAGTTTATATAGTGAATGTTTGAGTTTGTAAACAAAAATACAAACACTGCTATTTTTTTTTGAACAGTCTAATATTCACTTTTCTCAATTTTTTTAGAGGAACAACACAAATGTGATATATATTTTTCTTCATGTTTTGATTTGGAATAGAATGTGTAGTGTTCCCAATGCATTTGTGTGTATGGAATAAAAGCTATTAGAAGGATTTTGAGCTTTATTCACTTTTTTCAACACACTGCTAATATTTTGAACACAACTGTATGTATGAATGTGAGTTAGGGACCTTAGATTGTGCGCCCCTTGAGGGTTAGGGACTGAAGTGAATGTACAATATATGTATGTAAAGTGCTGTGTAAATTCATGGCGCTATATAAGTACCTGAAATAAATAAATAAATACACAGTGTGTGAAGCTGATCTCCAGCCTTTCCTTCAGTCTTGCACAGTTGTTGGCTTCTGTACTAAAATTGGGTAATCTGATTTCACTGCACTGATTTAACTGAGGTGTGCATGAGAAGCGGCAGCAAGTCAGACAGAGCCTCCTCTCTGGAGGACGCTCAGCTTTTTTTTAGCCCTTTCCTCCCCAATCTGATTTTCTCTGGCCCACCCCTTTTATTCTTTGGATTTCAGTTCTTTCAGTCATAGAGACTCAGCAACACAAATGGACATTACCTAGGGCATTATTCATGCAAATGCAGCCTTCCTGAAACACTCACTCCACCAGACTAACTCATCAAGGTATTTTGATATTTGCACAACTCCTCTGAAGGGCCAGACCACTGCTTGAATCAGGATTGAGGACTCTTAGGAGAAGTATTGATACAGGGTGTTGTGACGTTTTCAAGAAGCTATGTACAGCACCTTACTGGTTTCTCCCACCGGTAAGAGCTGAGCATATGTGACAGATGTGAAAGGGTCAGGAGAAGCCACGGAGAATGTTTTGCTGCCTGTAACCTCGTTTAGCATGACTGTTTTGGTGGTGGGTCAGTCATGGTCTGGGGAGGCATATCCATAGAAGGACGCACAGACCTCTACAGGCTAGACAATGGCACCCTGACTGCCATTAGGTATCGGGATGAAATCCTTGGACCCATTGTCAGACCTTACACTGCTGCAGTGGGTCCTGGGATACTCCTGGTGCACGACAATGCCCAGCCTCATGTGGTGAGAGTATGCAGGCAGTTCCTGGAGGATGAAGAAATTGATACCACTGAATGGCCCCCACGTTCACCTGACCTAAATCCAATAGAGCACCTCTGGGATATCATGTATCGGTCCATCCGATGCCACCAGGCTTCACCTCAGACTGTCCAGGAGCTCAGTGATGCCCTGTTCCAGATCTGGGAGGAAAAACCCCAGGACACCATCTGTCATCTCATTAGATGCATTCCCACGTTGTCAGGCAGCATACAAGCACCCATACAAACTACTGAGTACCATTCTGAGTTGCTGCAATGAAATTTCACAAAAGGACTAGCCTGCTGCATCATTTTTTCACTTTGATTTTTGGCATCTTTGAATTCAGTACTGTAGGTTGATCATTTTCATTTCCATCAATGATGGGGCATCCTTACATTCCTAACACATTACCCAGTCCATATCAGTATAGATATCCAGCATGATATTTTTCCCAATTGATATCTGCTGCAATGAAATTTCACTTGCAGAAAATGGACTAGCCTGCTTGCATCAGGTTTTTTTCATTTGATTTTTGGCATATTCTTTGAATTCAGTCCTCTTGTGTGAAAAAGTATCCTGTTATCTTTGTATTCTCCCTATGTGTGAAATCCCTGGTTGGTAATCCTGCCAGTCCCACTGCTTTCCAAAAAAAAAAAAAAAAAAAAAAAAAAACGGACCACGCTAGGCATGAGAAAACAGCATGGTCATTTCTCTAGCTCTGTTGAGAACTCAGCCTGCTCTCCTCCAATGATCAGACATGTCCTGAAACCCCCTCTCTAAACAGCCATTCACTGGGAAGATCAGCATGCTGCTGTTTCTCCTCCATTAGCTTGCCGTGTGTAGGTCATTAGGAACCCCTAAACAAGTTTCACCTGTAGGTATCAGGAAATTTCATAACATGATCAATAGATTCACATTAAAGATTTTTTTTTTTTTATTTACTACTGGAACCTCTTAGAAAATAATCCACATAACTAATGACCAAATGTACAATTACGTTCCTGTTTTCCTTGATTTAAAATGCAAGTTAAAAAAATAATAAGTTTGTCAGGTCATTTATGATAACGATAACATTTCTCCTCATTCATAACTGATATGAGTTTAGTGACATGTGACCTATGTTTTAGGCAATGCCTCAGTCATCCAGTTAAAATACATGTTTACCTTTCCAGTTCCTAACATTGTCCAGACTGGATAGTGAGATTCTTCTTGGCACCATTCCAGATAAACAATGTCCATTCTGGATGATTCCACTGGAAATCACTTCAGGCCTTGCATCAGGAAAATGGTTTGGTTTAGGCGGTCTTGGTGGTGGAGTGATGGGTAAGATCTCATTGTCACTGAGTCCATTGTGATTTTTCTCAATGGAAAATGTTTGTGATGAAGAGGGACCCAGAAGAGGGGAAGAAGAAGAAAAGTCACTACAGGAACCATTTGATTCTAGGTCCTTGATGGCAATGGAAGTTGGAGATTGCATATGACCATGGTGGTGAAAGTTTACATTGTAAAGTGTCTGGTTAAGAGGATGTTGAGATGATAAGCAGTCAAGAAAAACATCATCAGATGAGGTCTGTTCAAGGGATTTGTCAGAGTTCGACCACGCATCACATCTGAAATGAACAGCATGAAAAGTAAATCAACTAATAAAAAACACAGGATAAAAACAGGCGTCAAACACGATTCTTCAATGACAAAACAGACTTTTGTTTTTTTCTGAGCCTGGTACAGTTGACAACAAAGTGGTAGTATGATGTTATTGTACCGCAACCATAATGAGGCTTTGTCATGATATATTTAAAGTGATATTAAAGGCATTTAAAAAAATAACAAATGTCATACTTACCTGCTCTGTCCAGTGGATTTTCACAGAGCAGCCCCGATCCTCCTCTTCTCGGATCCCCTGCCGGTGCTAATGGTCCCTCCCTTCTGCAAAATGCCCCCACAGCAAGTAGGTTTCTATGGGGGCATCCAAGCAGCCTCGTTCCTAAAATGCTGCTCTGCGTGCCCATTCACACACACAGAGCAGTGGCCCAGCCTTGCCCCCCTCTCTCTCCTCCTTGGCTCACTGGCTGGGATTGTCAGCAGCGGGAGCCAATGGCTCCTGTTGCTGTCTCAGCCGATGAGGAGGGAGAGTCCCCGAAGAACTGAGGCTCTCGTGTACATCGCTGGATCGCAATGGGGTTTAGGTAAGTATCAGGGTTTTTTATGAATGAAGGAAAAAAAACTTTAGCCTTGACAACCACCTTAATTCATATAGTAAACATTTGATGCTCCTGTGCTTTTGATGGCCCTAACACTCAAAACAGTGGTACAGAGAATCTTCTAGTATTTGCCCTCTGATGCACCATCTGTGCCAACAAGATTCCTGTTGCAGCCTATTGTATATTAAACATTCACATATAAAAGAGCTACTCCATGGAGTGGGGGACGGTTCTGGAGACCAGTGTAAGGATGGTCTACATTTTGTGTGTGACTGGAAGCTTAGCTGTAAAGGTAAATTCCTTGTGATCACTATACTGAAAGGATTTATATTTCTATAAGTAATCCACTAGAGGATGTTTTCACCTGTTAGCGTATTCTTTATTCTCCACAGGAAAAAAATGGGAAACACCAAAAGGTGGTGATAACTATAGGTATATGCTCATCAGCTAAACTCAGAGATGGACAAAGGCAGAATGGGGCCCTAGGCAAGGTAGCAACTTTGCCTCCCTATCTACATAACCCTATACAGAGAAGCCACCCCATTGACGTTGTTTGTGCCAGCACAGCCCTCCCTATCAGACAGAGACAGGAAAGTGCACACATTTGGCCAACTGATTCACCCCCCTGGTTTACTTCAGAGACATGAAGTTATAGCTGTCCCCCTCTCCCCATCCCCAGGACATAAGCTGGGCCCTAAGCTCCAGCCTATGTTGCCTTGGGAATGATCCAACTCTGATCAAACTTCAAACCAACAGAGAAGGGATTTATGTATTATATAGGTAAAATCAATAAACAAACTAAGAATCACACAGAAAGGTGTTTATTATGAAATATGCTGTTACTAATATACATTAACAAAGTGATTGTAAAAGTTACTCTTTTTTTATTAAAATAATAAACATGTTCTACCTACCTCTTTTGTGCAATAATCCCCCCTATTTTCCAGTTCCCCATCGGCACTGTCCACTCCTCCTTCCTTTAGGTGCCCGCTCTGCAAGCCAGGTGCTAAGGGGGCACCCATATGGATGTGCTCCCGAGCCAGCCTATGTGTGTCCATAAACACACACAGTGCCATTAAGCCAAGCTCCTGGTCTCTTCTCATAGTAGTTTGACTGACAGCAGCAGGTGCCAATGGCTCCCTCTGCTCTCAGCCTCCCCTGTGAGAACAGGAAGCGAGAGCAGTGATGCTGCAGCTGGAATAGCACTGGATCGGTGTCAGGTAAGTGCTTAGGGATAGGGGATGGGTAGAATAGGTAGTGGGGAGTTTTTTACATTAACACATATATTGCATGAAGGTAAAATCAAAAACATATTGAGTTTAGAACTACTAAAAAGTATAACTACAGGTCATTTTTGATACAAGGCAGGATGGATCCATTCTTTCATGTTGTTTATGGCAAATTCTGACCCTACCATCTGAATGTCACAACAATCAATCTACCAATTCTCCTCTAACCTCTGACATCAACAAGGCATTTTCATCCACACAACTGCCATTCACTGGATATTCTCTCTTTTTCGGACCATTCTCTGTAAAGCATAGAGATGGTTGTGCGTGAAAATCCCAGTAAATCAGCCGTTTTTGAAATACTCAGACCAGCCTGTCTGGCACCAATAACCAAGCCACGTTTAAAGTCACCTAAATCCCCTTTCTTCCCAATTCTGATGCTTGGTTTGAACTCCAGCAAGCCGTCTTTACCACGTCTAGATGCCTAAATGCACTGAGTTGCTGCCATGTGATTGGCTGATTAGCAATTTGTGTTACCAAGAAATTGAACAGGTGTACCTAATAAAGTGGCCATTGAGCGTATATTAAAAGTAATAAAGTATGTTATTACATATACCGTATTTTTCACTCCATAAGATGCACTTTTTTCCCCCCCAAAAAAGGGGGAAAATGTCAGTGCGTCTTATGGAGCACATATAAAAGCGGCCGGTCCGGTATTTCTACATCCACCATGTCAGAATATCGGGCCGGCCACTCAGCTCTTCTCTCCTGCAGGACCTTACCTGTTCCTCGCTCCAGCGCTGCAGTCTTCCCGCGGCGGCTTCTGTGACAGCCAGGTGCCCACTGCGCATGCGCGAGAGGCGCTGCGCTTTGTGAATGGTCCGGTGTATGCTGGGATACATGACAGGTCCCAGAAGGCGCCGGGCCATTCACAAAGCGCAGCGCTTCTTGCGCATGCCCAGTGGGCACCCGGCTGTCACAGAAGCCGGCCCGGGAAGAAGACGGCAGGAAAACTCTGCGGAAGTGGGAGCGGGTACCTGTGACATTCAGGTACCCGCTCCCCCTCCCTCCCCAAAGGTCCCCAGTCTCTGGTCATCTCCTTTACTGTCTGCAGTCTCTGGTCATCCCCTGCACTGTCTGCAGACTCTGGTCATCTGTACTATGTCCCTGGTATTTTCCCTGTACTACGTCCACAGTCTCTGGTCATCTCCTGCACTGCGTCCGCAGTCTCTGGTCATCCCCTGTACTATGTCCGCAGTCTCTGGTCATCCCCTGTACTATGTCCGCAGTCTCTGGTCATCTCCTGTACTGTGTCCGCAGTCTCTGGTCATCTCCTGTACTGTGTCCGCAGACTCTGGTCATTTCCTGTACTGTGTCTGCAGTCTCTGGTCATCTCCTGTACTGTGTCTGCAATCTCTGGTCATTTCCTGTACTATGTCTGCAGTCCATTGGTTCAGAATATTTTTTTTTTCGTTTTCCGCCTCTAAAACCTAGGTGCGTCTTATGGTCAGGTGCATCTTATGGAGCGCGAAATACGGTAATTAGCATAAGTACCTGAATCTGCCTTGATATCAGCCTCCTATAATCCCCCGCACAGTACAACTCAAACTGGGCCAATATAGTGCTGTCAGTCTCTTTTCTTGAAGAAGCTTACAGCAGGATAGACAGTGCGACCGCATCCATGGGTCGCTACTCATTCATTGTGCAATTAGCAATGAAGTAGTGATTTTGCACAGCAATATTTTGTAGGTGGGAAACAATGGACCATCATATTAGTGTCTTATATTATAGATTGCAGCATTCCCATACTTGTCAGCATACAAAATGGCAAGGTTTTTGTTTATTTGATGGAATGCACACGCTGCTTGAGATAGATTTGGCTATTTTTAAACTGAAGTCAGAGATTTCTGTCCTCCATCTGATTCTCACAGATGATACCAAGTGGGAGGGACGGTACAATCTTTTTAAGTGTCATTAGAGAGAACACTCAGTTCTCTTCTGCTTGCATCAAAGATTACTAAAATGTTTTTACTAAGCAACATGCACATTTATCTCACATATTTTTAGCATGCACTTCATTTTAGAAAAGTGGCCATCTCCCTATATAACAGTCAAAATTTTGGCTATTTTTGGACATTGACATTTGGTGGACATGTAAAAAAAAAAACAAAACAAAAAAAAAAACAAATAAAAATCTAATAGTTTCTCTCAAGCATTTACACTCATGATTACTAGACAGTAACTAAACCGTATATTTAGCAATAAAACCTGCAACAATAAAATTTTCAGAAATGACCAGTCTACATGCTCCCCCAATGTTATTCACAAGGTATGTCATAATAGAACACATCCATCACACTCTATACAAACATAAGACACCAACCCATTTCCCAAGGGAGTAACCAGAAATTTACTTAGAAAAGTGTTTTCCGCTTTAAGAAAGTGTAAAACATTTGAAAGTGGAATGTATTGTGTCCCGAGACTTCCACTGTTTGGCTCAGATAAGCCAAACCTAACTAAAACAGTGGGCTGAATGGAGTTGTACTAATCTTCAAGGGCCTACGTTTTGTCTTCTGGAGCCAAACCTATTTAATTCCACAAAAACTAATAAATCCCTTTGGTATTTACATTACAGTAACAAGTGCAACTAGCAAGATTTTTTTCCCAAAAAAAGAGGGACTTAAACTGATGCCTGAAGTATGGACCTGCAAAATTATGCATTGAAAAGTAGCTGTATCAACTGGAAACCAGCTAGGACCTAGTCTAGTGTAAACTGATAAACTACTCAGGGGTTCAACAAATGTGACCAGTTTGGCATGACTGCTTTAGCTCTAACATTTTTAATGTTTTGTAATGTTAAGTACTCTTTTAATCGACTCATGATTCACTATGCTTATTATGGATATAATTTTTATATTTTTATATATATATATATATATATATATATATATATATATATATATATCAGATAATCTTTATTATCAGATAATCTTTATTAATAACATAAGTTGTTAAACAAATCTCTTGTTTATCAAGAAAAAGTATTTTTACATTTTGCACATAAAAGTGCTCTGAACGTCATTAAGTCACAACAAAAGAAGAACACACAGTTGCTGAACAAATCTACACAAACATTTGATATTCCATGGTTTAATTATAACATTAAAATTTTCAGTGCAGGGAGGAAAAAGTATGTGAGCCCCCTTAATGACTTTCCTAATTGGAGTAGGAGTGAAACCTTGATTAGTTGAATATCGATGTGTTGCTGACACCTGTTCTAAAAAACACCCACTTGTTTTGGGTTTACTTTCAAGATACTGTCTGTATGATATTCAAAAAAGAGCTCTCATCTCAAGAATTAATTTCCATAGAAGCTGGAAAGGGTTACAAAAATCCCAAAAGCCTTGATTCTCTTCCACAGTGCTGTCTTTTAGCACTGTTGCTACTTATCCCCTTCCTGTAAAAATGACTGCAAAAAAAAAAGGTAAAGAAGAACCCCAGTTTAAAGACCTACAGAAATCTCTGGCACACTACCAATCTTATCTAAGAAGGGATCAACTCCACAGAGGAGTGTCTAACGTTTTTTGCAAAAGAGCACCCCCAGAGACTCTGGCAAAATATATGTATTAAACCTAGTTGTTGAGAAAACAACACTATGTGTTCAAAACTCTCATTGTGGCGGAGGGAGCATCATGGACTGCCTCATTTACTGATTTTTTACCGCGCCAACCCACAAGAGTTGGGGGAGCCATAAACATCCCAAGAATATTGCTACACTGAAACAGGTTTGTGAAGAGAGTGGTCAAAATTACTCCAATCATTGTGCAGGTCTGATCTGCAACTACAGGAAACGTTTGGTTGAACAAAAAGGAGGGGGGTCAACCCAGAGGTTTCACAATTTCCTCCCCTGCGCTTGTGAATGTTTACATATTTATCTGATTAAACCATGGCAACATCTAATGTTTTGTGTAGTATTATGTTCCATTTCTGCGCTACCAACTTTTGCACTATATACAGCAAATGGAGAATCGCCGTATACATCTGGGGGTATAAACTCTAGCTACCCTAATACACATATCTTGGGCTCCAACACGGGCATTAGTTCTGAACACTTTGTTAATAATATCCAGGACTAAGGTGCAATACCTAACCTTTTATACTTAGGACATCCCCATATCATATGCACTAATGTACCAACATCCCTTTCACACTGAGGACATAAATGGGTATTCCTTTTATGGCACTTAAAATGTGGAGAATATGACATCTGGGGGGGTATAAAAATATGCATACACATGTAGGGCATTATAAAATAATATTGGGTAAGTCAATACCTAACCAACTTAGGAGATGCAGAAAGAAATACTTGTCCTATATTATTAAGAGCACTGGACCACTAAGAGCACTGGACCACTCCTCATTTTATTTTTACAAATATCATGGGTGTTCTGTATATTTTAAATAGTATTAATATTCCTATACATAGGTGTATGATGCACATTTAAATGTATAAAAGTTTTGTTATATTCAGTACACTGAGTGAGACTACACAAACCAACCAGATATACATATTGATATTTAAAGGATAAGTTCAACTTTTTGACAAAAAATAATAAATGCATAGATAATAAATGCGTAGATCGCTGATGCAATGCAAGTCTCCTGCAGACCTGTCAGATTAAATGCTTGCCTTACAGGATGTACGAGCAAGCAGATATGACAGGAAGCTTTAATGAACTACCAAGGCGCTCTACAGCACTGTGGTAGTTCATTGAAACTACAAGCCCTCGTCCGCTAAGGCTGTCGGGACTTGTTCATTCATTCACGGAAGTCCATGAATAAATGACGTGGCCATGTGGGCGGAGCCCCACACGACCATGCGGTTTTTAAATCTGACAGATAGTACAGGGAAATTTCTCCCCGTATTGTCTGTCAGAGAGAGAGAGAGGGTGGCAGGCACAGCTGTGGCTATGGGAACATGTTACTATGGGAACTGCAGCTATGGGAACACCCTAAAAACGGGTGGAACATGTAACATGTTCCCAAAGGTGAACTTATCTTGTAACCGCTTGCCAACCGCGCTATAGCCGAATGATGGCTACAGCGTGGTTGTCCAGTTCTGACGTCCTCCTAGAACGCTCCCTCCCGTGTGCACACCTGCCGATCTCCGTGATCGCTGTGTCCTACGGACACAGCTGATCACGTGATGTTGTAAAAAGCCAATCACAGAGGCCTTTTACCAGGAAATCAGCTGTGTCCAATGACACAGATCACCGGGTAAATGCAGTTGCTGGTTATCAGCTGCACTTTCCTCACACTATCACAGCATGGGCGGACTGACCATTTGGAAACTCGGGCACTGCCCGAGGGCCGGGGTCAGTAGGGGGACCCATGAGATGCCCCTGGTACCTTTTTCATAGGCTTTTTGAGTTTGGGCAAGGACACAGGGGCTCCATGATCCTCTATTGCCGGGGGGCCCCATGAGTTGTCAGTCCGCCCCTGTATCACAGTGTGAGGAAAGTACTGCCAATAACCGGCAATTGGCAGAGAAGTGATCTGCACTGATCATCAGGGCACTGATAAGTGCCCCCCAATGCCGACAACCAGTGCCGCCTACAAGTGCCTAGCAGTGCCCCCCACCTGTGCCCAGCAGTGCCAAGTAGTGCCCCCCACTTATGCCCAGCAGTGCCACCCACCAGTGCCCCCCATCAGCATTGCCGCCCATCAGTGCCCAGAAGAGCTGTGAGTCAGTGCCCAGCAGTGCCACCAGTCAGTGCCCATCATTGTTGCATATCGGTGCCAGCTCATCAGTGCAGCCTATCAGTGCCCATCAGTGCTGCCTATCCATGCCACCTCATCAGTGCCAATCAGTGCTGCCTATCAGTGCAGCCTCAATGCACATCAGTGAAGGAGAAAAATTACCTGTTTGCAAAATATTATAATAGAAACAAAGAAAAACTTTTTTTTTTTGCATTTTTTTTTTATAATGCAAAAAATAAAACACCCAGTGACGATTAAATACCACAAAAAGAAAGCTCTATTTGTGTGAAAAAAATAATAAAAATTTCATATGGGGCAATGTTTGCATGACTGTGCAATTGTCATTCAAAGTGCGACAGTGCTGAAAGCTGAAAATTGGCCTGGGCAGGAAGGGGGTATAAGTGCCTGGTAGGCAAGTGGTTAATTAACTCATAATCCAAACTGATTGGCACCTGTATCTTTTAATGCAGCTTCCTCTGAGCCATGATGAAGGGGAACCTGTTGAGTCCTTCAAATACATTGGCTTTAATGAAGTGTGGATTCACAGATGTGCAGTGCAAATTGAAGCTCAGTTTTCACAGCTAATTGACAAAGTAGTTGTTCAGAGTTTCAGTACAGGTTTACATCAGGCTCAGGTCAGGTTTACATCAGGATCGGGTCAGAATTTTTATCCTGTTCACAAATGAATGACGTGTGTTTCAGACGTGTTCCAATAGAAGTTTATGGGCCTGAAT